GGGGCAGCTACAGCTTCTCTGGGCACTCTGTGCCAGGGCCTCCCCACCCTCACAGGGAAGAATTTCCTCCCAATACCCAATCCACTCCTGCCCTCTCTCAGTTTGAAGCCATTCCCCCTTGTCCTGTCACTCCAGGCCCTTGTCCAAGTCCCTCTCCAGTTCTCTTGGAGCCCCTTTAGGTACTGGAAGAAGCTCTAAGTTCTCCCCAGAGCCTTCTTTTCTCCAGGCTGAACAGCCCCAGTTGCTGCAGGTTTATTCACATTAAATGAAAGTGGGTTAGAACTGGAACAAAAATTTTCTTAGTGGACAGATTTGAATGAAAGTATTTGCTGCTCTCTAAGACTGAAGCTCGTTTGGAAAGCACCCTCAGGAGCAGTGTTTAGGCAAAGATTTCAACTTCCACCTTGCTGCTGGCTTGCAGACAATAGGTGGTAAAAACACATCATGCTCTATGTCTAGGGGTAATGAGAAGAAAAGAAATGACATTAAAATGCAAAGTATTGTTCATGGTTATTTCCATGGAACGTCCATTTCCATTTAATAGCAGAGAATCCATCACGTTCTGCCTTATTTCAGCTGTGATGGCTCCCAAGAAAAGATGTAGGTCACAGCATGCCAAAGGCAGTGTCTTTGAGAAGAGCTCAAGGTGCAGTTTTCAGGTAGTGGAGGGGAGGGTTGCTTTGCAACTTTCCTTTACAGCCATGCTGGCACTCACACTTCCCCAAAAGTGCTAGAAAATGTCACTAAATTTGGCTGTGGGGCTGCACCACGTGTTGAGTGTGGGCTGAGAGAGCAAAGCAAGAGTGGCAGCCTGCAAGGAGCTGCTGCAGGGGGCTTGGAAAGGAAAAATGGGCAGAAGGTTTGAAATTTTGGGTACAGGTGAAAGCAAGGCTCACCCAGTAATTCTGCATCTCTGCAAGTGCCTGGCTGGGTTAATGCTGTGCCATGACTTGCACCAGAGAGCAGGGCAGATTGAGCAGCCAAAATGCCCTGATTTTAATGTAGCCCTACAAGCAGTGGTTTGGGATATACCCTTGTTTCACTGTAACAGAGAATTTCATGAGAGTCAATTAGCAAGGTAATTAATTAATCAATTATGTAAAACAGATGAGCAATCTGATATCCTGTTCTATAGTGATACAGCTCTTTGTTGAGACTTAATTAATACACAGGCTTGGGGACAAAATATAAAAAAAGGGAAAAAACCAAATCCTAGAGAAGAATCAGTTGGAGAGAATGATTCCAACAGAGGATGGAAACTGGGCTGGGGACCAGATGGGACGACTGCCCTGCTCTGGGAGGACAGTGGAGTTATTCTGGGTAGTTTAACAACCAGCCTGATGTTTGCCTCCACCACTACAGCCAGCTGAGCCAAATTGGGCTCTCCTGCCTGCCAAAACAAATGTGTGGTAATTCCTTCTGTGTAACTGCTCAGTGCCACCTTTCCAAGCTGGCTGGTGCTGTACATGACGGGGGAGGTGTTCAGATGTGTTTGTTGTCTATGTGCCTCCCAGCTGCTCGTGCTGTACCAGGGCTGGGCTGCAGCTTTAGGCTCTCTAACAACACCAAAGCTCACTGCAGGTGCTGGGTTCCTACGTGACCTGTACCAAAAAGCAATGGGGATATTGATCTTCTGTTACAGCCCCTTGGAACCCAGAGTATTTCAATAGCCTGCATTAATCTGTGAAAACCTACATCTTGTTACAGTCTCTGTTTTATTTAATTTTACTTTAGGCTAATAGTTATTTGGGTCAATTCTTTGCAGTTGTGATAAATTGATACATCATCCATATTGGAGTAAAACTGCGTCAGGGCTTCCACTTAAACAGACTCTCACTCCAATAGTTTTGCATTAACCATATTTGTGATAGTCAATACAGAAAAATCAGTGTCAAACCTGCAAGCCTCTCAAACCCTCCAAATAATTTTAGAGGTAATGTGTTTCCAAAGCTTAAACCAATGCTTATGGACCTTTCCTTTAGCAATATGCTCCAGGGTCGATTTTCCCATGTTCAAGGGCCAGATTGCAAATGTATTGGCTGGAAATGGAAGCAGAGTCATGCTCCAGCAATGATTCTTATTGAGTAACTATAGATGAGAAAAGGCAGTTACTACCTGGCAAAGACCCTGCATTTTAAGTTTTCTTTACAAACTCTCTCTCTGGCCAAGCCTTTAGCGTGGAATTGCAGGGTTTTATAGCCATATGTGGAAGAAGCTGATACTCAAGAGCAGTGGCTGCCAGGGACTGTATTTCTTTCTAAGGCTGCTGTCAGAGGGGTTTTCTTGCACAGCTACAGCGGGGAGGGTGACTGCAGAGCCCCTGAATGCTCACATCAGAGCCTCTACATGGGCTGACAGACTGCTGCAACTTTAGAATTTGCTTCTGGCCTTGCTCTTCCCTTCCTCCCAGAGTGCCACTGTGTGGTTTGTGTGCTTTAAGCCTTGTTTTCAGGGATTCACTTCAAGCAGTTACTGATATTGCCCAGCCTGTAGCAGCAATCTGCCTCTGCAGTTCCTGGGTTTTCATGGGCTGATCCTGAGCTGCTCCAGTCACTGGGAATTCTCCACTGGAAAAAACTAGGTTCAGTCCTGGAAGAAGTGGATTGGACTTATCAGGGGATTCATCCTCCTCATTCACAGCTTACCTACATCTGTTGGTTTCACTGTTTTCCTTCTCTTTCCAAAATTACATGAAATCATCTCTTCACTCTACCTCCTCACCCCCTCTAAAAGAGCTGGTCTCATTCCAAAAATGGGAGTGTTCAGAAAATCAAAAGCTTATTAATAGCTCGCTGCCTCTTTTTAATCTATTCAAAAAGCTGTACAGTGTGCAAAGCTGTTGTGACATGATTTTTCTTTTTTAATATCTCACACTTTGACTGTCAGTATTTAAGGAAAAATGAAACTAATCATCAGTGAAGGCTGTAATGCTACTGTTTTATAGCTGCTGGGGAGCTCAGAAGAAAATTTTCTAAGAGAAACTATAAAAAGAGAGCAAGAGAGAGAGAGAGAGAGGAAGTGTGTGTTTAAGTGTATGCATGCATCTCACATTAGAGGCTTCAAAGAACAAGCCAAAATGTATATTAAGTTGCAAAGTAATATTAGTAAGATAAGGAAGGTATATATTGGAAAAGAGTGAAAAAAGGGCCATTTTTTAAACTTTGTCCTGAGTGCTCCTTTCCATGCAGAGGGATGACACTCCCCATATTGCCCAGCCTGGCAGATTTTACTGAGGAATGCAAAGTTCAACATTTGGGTATGGATGAACTCCACTGTCCTCCAGGTAAGAGTTGTCCTTGCTAACATTTTATCTTGAATCCCAAATAATATTTTACTATTGCTGGAGCAACATTTCAACCACAGACACTCTTCAGTATCAGTGGGGAAGCAAAGGCTGTATCTTCTGGCAGGCAGTTCATGGAAATTAGTCCAGGAGTCTCCTCTGCAAATGGAGGACAGAGTCATGGAAAAGCTAAATATAAATCAGTGCAGCTTATCAGGACATGACAGGTGGGATATAATAATCTACTATGAGTATTTTAATTTATGAAACCGAAGTACAGCATTAAGCCCAGCACAAGTTGTTACAGGAGGGAGTAGCAAAGCAGGGGTGATAAAACACAGGCTGAACCTTATATGAGTGTAGAAGGATTTCCCAGAAGTGGATATCCCAAAATTCCAATGGATATCCCATGCCCAGGGGGAGTCTAGAGTCTAAAGACATCTATCTATCTATCTATCTATCTATCTATCTATCTATCTATCTATCTATCTATCTAGAGCTATAGAGCTGTATCTATACGTATATACACACACATGCATGTATTATGTCTATTTATACACACATTTGTAATTAGAAGGGAGCGGTGTGTATGTATAGTTACGCATGTGTAATACAGAACAAAGCTTGCAAGGTGCCTATAATTTGAAAGCTAGAAGAAATATATTAAAAAAAAAAATAGAGCTCCAATTATCAACCCTTTCTGACAACTAAAATCTCATTTACAACTCACACCCCTTTAAGCCCTGTACTTCTTTTGCTTTGCCCCCAGCACTCAGTGCCACACACAGCATCTGACATCTGGAACAGCTGAGACACTTCAGCACAGAAGATCAAACACTTCAAAGAGTCTCAGAGTGGTTTGGGAAAGGGAAAACCCAGTTGTTCTCAGAGTCAGGTAAGGTGATGTACTGCAAATGATATGTGGTACCCACAGTAAAAATAAACTCATGAATGCAGGCAACTGAACTGAATTTTCAGGCAGGTTCTGACCCCTGATGACCCAACTCAGCCAATGGTGTACGGACAGACACATCATCAGTGCATACCTAATGAGATGACAGTTGTGCAGGTGCCTGCAAATAAGTTTCTCATTTCACCTGGTACTTTTAATATTCTACATACAGGAAAAAGGTGATGCAATAACATTTTTAAGTCTATAATTAGCACTGCAATAATGCTGGCTGTTTAAACTGGTTAATAATATTAAAGAAGAGCTCTGATTTAATTATAGAGACACAAACCCAGGTACTTCTAAATAAGGATGGGTTCCCACCAATTGTATTTAATACAATTTTGCCTTCATTTATCATGTAGATAATTGCCACTGCAGAGTGTGGCTGTGTTTGTGGAATTTCCCTGGATACCCTCAGAAGAGACAGAAAAACATGACAGTTTGCAATCTGGAGAGGAAATAGAAATGAAAGCTTCCCCCTCTGCCCTTGCTAGTTCCTCAAAAATAAATTTTAATATAATTTGAAAAGTTCTGATTTTGGTACAATTATTCCATTCTGTTTGGTTTCATTTATGCTTCTAAAATAGAGGTTTCTGGAGACTTTGCATTAACTCCACAGATTACAGCTGGCATTGAACAGAGGTATAAGTTATGAAGCAGATATAAAGGAGCATCCATTTCCATGTATGATTAAATGCTGACTCAAGGTAGTGCAGTATTTTTGATCCCTTAAGTTTAATAAAATTCAGGACAGGCAATAAGGAGTCGCAGACAAATTAAAATTTATTGAGACAGACAAAAATGCAACTATTTCAGACTACAGTTAAGCATTTACAGTGAACCAAAGGTAGCAAAATGCTCACATTCCACTTAACTCCTTATGGAAAAAGCATTCAGAATTTACTATGCAGTTCTACTTACTATGATAGTCTACATCCATCTACAGTAGGGACATCGAACTGAAACACGTAATATTTGGATCTCTCCTTACAGATCTACACATTGAACAGTAACAGACATCAACAGCATTGAGAAAAGTATAAAAAGACCAAAACCCACCTACTGTAGAAAGGGCTTTTTGATGTGTAGTAACTGTACAAAGCAGTCTGTGGATGAAGGGATGGGACACAGGAGGGACCGCGAGAGAAGCCAACAAACGGAGGAAGCGAAGCTCGAGCGACCTGGTCTGGGTCAGGTGGTGACCTTAGATCTACATCAGTTGCTGCTTGAGGGAGAAAAGGCTACAAAACTCCTAATATCAAAATATTCCCATGCCAGAAATGTACACTGAGACTAACAGACTAGGCTGGAGAGGCAAAGAGAAGCATTCACTAACAAACAGTGTTGTTTTAAATATAAACTTTACATCTTCAATATAAACTGTAGAATAAATATTAAATAAACAGTTCAAATGGTTAAAAATAATAGTACAGAATAGCATAAAAAAAAGGCAAAGAAATGGTTCACAGCAATGGCCCAAAAAACCCTACTGTGCTGAAATTTGAACTCAGTATTTTGATTTAACTACAGTAGTTAAAAGGAACATAAAGCAATGCCTAACAGTATCTCATAGACTGTAATATGAAAAGAAAATTAGATTAAAAATTGGTTTGTGTTTCTAAAAGAATGAGACAACTCTGATTCCATTTGGTTTGTGTCTCTAAAAGAATGGGACAACTCAGATTCCATTTTTCACAATGAGAAAATGTTTGGAAGGTCAATGAATTGATTCAGATGGGAAGTAAGTCTTGCTTTGTTAAAAAAAAAAAAAACGAAAAATGAATGAATTGAATTAAATTAAGTTGGAAGCAAATTAAATCCTTTACAAAGCATGAAGAATGGAAGGGGCTTGATCTGGAAGAGCACTGGTTCTTGGTAGAATTGCTGGTTTCTTTATCACTATTTCATTAAATAGAAGATTTTCTTAATGCATCTCCTCACACATACATACATATGCATACATGTGCACACACATATTGTGCATAAATGTATATATACAGTCACACAGAGGTATACATATGTATATATATAGGCTGCAGATCCCCCACCACAGGAGGATGCCAGTGGATCACAAAAGGGCTTTGTTAAATAGCTTTGCAGGATTTGGGAACTTGCTCTCAAGGCAATCCAGAGTCTGAGCTGCCCTTCCAAGCACGTGTGCCCTGCTGCTGCCTGGCCGGGACACTGGGATTGGGCACGGCTGCCCTGCCCAGCTGCCCCAGCCCATCAAGTGGCACAATTCCCATGCTGGATGGAGCCAGAAGAACACTGCAGAGTCAAAGAGGTGACTGAGCAGTCGCCTGGAGAGGGGGCTCTGTCTGGATCCAGGCCAGCATGCCTAACCCAGTTGTGTTTCTGTGTGTTTCTGGGTGCAGGGGGATGTGCTACCAGAGGCCACCCGAGCCTGCCAAGGCCAAGCCCCCTCGCCAGACTGGGCTGGGCATGGATTTGTTTCACTGGGACCATCCCATGTTTGAGCTGGTGACTCTGGGAGACAGTAACTGCTTTACATTTAGAGAGAAACCCTTCCAGCTCCGATTTGGAAGCATCACATGTGGAAGATCACAGCCAGGAGACCACCAGCGGGTGGTGCTGCCATGTCTGCACATGTAAACTCAAAGATGGTCACATTCTTATTTAACAGCTTTAATTTAACCATCTTGCATGTTTCCATGTGACACAGCCCTCTGCAGCCTCAGACCTGGTACTGCCTGCAAGGGCTTAGAGTGCCAGGCTTTACCCTGGGGAGGTGCTGGGCAGGGGAAGGGATTTGCTCTGTGACCTTTGATGTAAGGCACAGCCCAGGATAAACTGCTGTGGAGGGACACAGGACTGCCAAAACCCCCAGCTCTGTGTGGAGAATGAGCCCAGTCAGGAGGATAAGCATAATCTGCTGATTGTGGAGCTCAGATTTATGGCAGAATGAAATGGCAGCTGTGCCTCAGGCAGGTCTTGCACAGGACAGCAGAGCCAGACCCAGAGAATGTGGAGTTAATTAAGAAAGTATCAGAGGAAAACTAGACAGGATGTTTAAGAAGGAACCTACTGACAGTGTTCAATTGCTTCTCACAAAATCATTTTTAGGGAGACAGAAATGCTGGGTTATCTGCTCCTCCTGCAAGCTGGCAGAATTTCTGTGAAAAGCAAATAGAAAAAGTGTGCATATGTGTGTGTGTTTGTGTCTGTGTGTGGTGCAGCTCATGGAAAATGATTATTAGATATATTTTGCTAAAGCTATGGGAAAACCAAAGGGATTTATTTGAGCCAGGGCAGATTGCAGGCCTTTTGCAAATGACTGTGATGGCAGATTTTTGGGAGGATGCAGGGGCGTGAAACAACAAATTCTTCATGGTTTTACACATCCTTCTGCATTAATAATGATTATGCAGGCTTGCTCTTTGTCCTCAGGTCATTGATCTGGATAAATAGGAAATAAGAGGAGAAAACAGGAGAGCCCCTGCAGCACACAGTACCTGAAAGGAATTCCACTTCTGATCACATCTGAAAGCAGAGGTCCCACCCAGAGGGCTGCCAGGCAGGCACTGGCTTTGGAGAGGGCTGAGAGCCAACATCCCCGGGCCAATGTACCTAAAAACTGACTTCTGCCAGTCTGTGTGGTACTTTCCAGCTTTCAACTGACTATGTAGACAACCATGTTGTGACTCAATGCTGTCTCCACCTCTACATCCACCATTAACTCAGAAAAAAAAAAATAAATTCTAATTAGTTTTTGTTATAAAAGCCACATTTTTTATTCTGCAAAATAACTCACTGGCCAATCACAGGCACTGCTAAAATACTCACACCTGTCTCCTAATGCAAGAGTGAGATTAAGGTGCCTCTTACTGCTTCACAAAACAGCAAAAATAATAAAAGATCACCACAGCCCATTACTACATCTGAGAACTGCCATGGGAAAGGAACACTGCAAATAATGTAATGTCAATATGCTCTGATACAAGAGCTTTGAATATATGGGAGGTATCAAGGGAGATTGGATTTTAATACTATTCTCTTTTAGGAGTGTGTATTACAAGTGTGCAGCACCACACTGAGCCAAGGGGTTATGCTTTGAAATTTCACCACCTAAAGGTGCTTTTTAAATCAGGTTACCTTTACATGAAGTAAGAGACAGTCACTTTTGAGGGTTGGTGCCTTGGACAGCATTCTAGCTCATGGAGAACAGACAGCTCTGGGGTGTGAGCTGGCAGCAGAGGCTGCCTGGGTGTTAGTGGTGCAAACGAGCTCAGACAGCAGCTGAGGAACAGCTCTGGGGGTGGTTGTGATGCTACAAATTCACCTAATACTCTCTCCTTAAACACTCTGAAAGGCACTCTGCCTCTAGGGCTCGGTCCATGACAGCTGCAGCATCTCTTCAGATCAAGGAGGCCAAATGAAGAGTGCCATTTAGCTGAGCTGGGCCCTGGTGGAGTTTTGCCTTCAGTGTGAGCTGGACTAAGCCTGTTGGACTCATTCTCAAAGAATGGAAGGAAGGGAAAGTCCTGCCAGTGGGTTTTCTTCTGGATTAAACTCCTGGTACTGGGCAGCCACTGTCCAAAGAAACTTACTCTTCACAGGGACATTATAAATATGGACTAGAAAAGGAAGCACCTACTTCTCCTTCTTCATGAAAGAAAAACCTTTTTCTGATATGACCCAGGTAACAATTTATGACACAAATTCTCTGACATGAGAGGGGCTTCTTAGCCTTTGTATTGTTTTTTTTTTTGAGCCCCTTCCAGAATTCTTTCACATGATGGATTTCGTAAGTGGTGCAAGTGAGGATTAAGACATGAAATGGTTTTGAAACAAAACTCATTGCCCCTGTGGATAGAACAAAAACCCCCCAAACCAACTGAACAAAAGCTGTATTCCAAACAGTCCTTGCTGGAAAAAAAGTTGTCATCCAAATTAAATAGGCTATACAAAATTAAACTCAGTAGACAGGGAATTTTTGTGCCAGGTACTCTCAGATACAATTGCAGAGATATGATGTGAATTGCAATATTGTGCAAAACGTGAGTCCTCATCATGATGGGCACTACCATATATAACCAATTTCATCATCCTTATCATCATCTTCATCTTCATCATCTTCATTAGCTGCTCTTACATGAATCTTCAGTTTCCCTTCTTTGTCTTTTTTTGTTGCTTCAGGTTCCTCTTCCAAATCATCCAACAATACAACAGATCCACCACTGCCAAAATCCCCTGAGGTTTCTTGCTCTTCTTCTGAAACAGGTGAGCAGGAAAGGTCATTTCCTCACACAACACCCAATTCCACATTAACCACTATCCTTGTCATGCAGGCCACTGTCATTTGCAATGTTATTTTTTAAATTAATTGGTTCAGCTATTCATGAAACCTTAAAATTTCAATTTTCATTCTGAACTGGGAAAAATACATATCAATTGACTCTGAATTTTTTTTTTTTTGCATAAAATGCCCCCTTATGCATTGTCCTCCTCCTAGAGGCCTGACTGGAAAATTCCAAATCAGGTGCATGCAGGCCAGAAAATCATCATTCCTTTGTAAATACTTTCATTCCATCCCAGCTCTGTAAAGCAGGCTAAAAATATAAAAAAAAAGATTTTATTTGAGTGCATAAACCTCACTCTGCAAATGTAGCTATTGAACCAAAGATCTGTGATGTCATTCTGGGCATCCTGGACCTTCTATGTCTCTGTTCCTTCTCAAAAAAGAAAGCTGCATTCAAAACCATCCCTGAGGCACTCTGAAGGATTGCAGGTGACATCTTCCTTTTCTGGGCACAACAGCTAATTGTTGACTCCACTTACCTAGATAATATTGTCCTGTCAGCAGTTGTGTTGGGCTTGGTTGCTAATGCATACAGTTTTACAAATTGAGGCCTTCCCTTGTCTGGAAAGTTCCAGTAGATGTGCATTCCAGAGTATACAGAACAACATCTTTAATAACCATGCTGAGCAACCCCAGACCCTTAATTTTAATATCACTAACTGCACTTTCCAGGCTGGTAGCAAAAATACCTTAATAGTGGTTATTGCCTGCTAACTTGTGCTGCACCTCTGCTGTCCAGAGGACCCACGAGGGCCCCATCTGTGGTGTGAACAGGGAAACAGAGGAGCACTTTGAATGCAGTACCCGCGTTTCCCTTCTGGGGTACAGCAATGCCAGGGTACAGCAGCGTTAGCTCCCCCCCTGTCTGAGGAAAGCAGAGCATTACTCACCACAGCTGACTGTGCCTCGCTTTCTGGAGCCAGCTATCTCATTCCCATACTTATCAACACACCAGCACTGCCCCGTGCTGTCGTGGCACTGCGTGGCTTTGTAATAACCTTCCTCATTGCACCGGGGGATGAAAACACCTGAATAAAACACAAGGTGTGCTCAGTAATGCAATCCTCTGCAGGAGCAAACACTCAGAGAGGGTATTATGAACTTAGCACTTATATACATGAAGATCTTGACAATGTTGGCAAGGAAATACGTGTGATTTTCTGGTGCCTGAAAGGATGAAGGAATTATTTCTGGTTAACTCTTTTCAGACACCCTGGTCACAGTGTATAAATGTTTGCTCATATCCAGCACACAGAGGAGGGTGTCACACAGCTTTAGAGAGAGCTTCAGTCTACCCCTGAATGATTGATATTCCCACAGAGATTTTTCATATTTAACTCCTGGTTTTAAACTTTTCTTCCCAACTGGATTATTACCCCAACTTCATTAGTTCTGCATTTCCCTCCATTTGCACTCCTTCAGTGTTTATCACATGAGTCTTTCCACAACGCTGTAATTATCCCTGGAAGGTATCTGCCATCTGCTTGCTATTCATACTAATCTCAGGCACATCCCCTGACTTACTGAGAGCTCCCATGTATAAAAGAGGAAATAATGCACAGGCTTTACAGAGAGGGACAACAGGATCTGAATCAGAAAGTCTTCGGATTTGAAGCCCAAGTTTTATCTCACAATAAAATCAATATATTTCAGCCTTGTAGAGTGTGGTTCATTCTGGCTTCTGCAGAGAGGGAAACTCTCAGGAGAAACCTGTGTTATTGTTCCCACCATTTTCAGCATATACAGCAAATGTACTTCAGTATGAAAAGCCCTCTTGTTCTTTGAGATGAGTTAGCTTTATTCCCACTGGAGGTCAGTACATTCATTTTTCCCTTCTTTGTCAATTGCTTCAATTTGAAACATGGTATAACCACACCCTGGCCCCCAAATTTCTTGTCTCAAACGATTTTTGAGAAAGTGTTTTTCTCCTTTGTCAAAGATACCAGTGATTTACTGGTGGTTCAGTAAAGTTTTTTAACTAGTTCCATGTGTAGCATCTATTCAGACATCACACGTGTCAAAGGGGCCACTTCTACTACATTTCTCACAGGAAAAGATGAATGAGAAGGTGATGCCCAAATGTCACCAGATTTCCTACATAAAAGACATGAAAGTGGAAGTCAGTCAGTCTCATGCACACAGAGAGCTACACAAAGTGAATCTGAATATCCAAACTCATTGCTCTGCAGATCTTGTCTGAAGTTTGAGTGCTGCTCATACAGGTCTGGGAGGTGAGAGGAGAAACCTTTGAACATCTGCAGAAATATTTGTGTATCAGATCAGTTTTGGAGACCACATCCATGAGTGAGAATATTTTAAATAATATCAAAGCATGATCTTATAGCAGGTTTGCTAATAGTTATCACCATTATGTTCATGTACAAATGTAAGCATGATAGCAACTACCAAAGATTCATTTTCACTATTTGTAAGACAATAGTTTCAATAACAAATGTATGTATTTTTTTTTTGTAAGTTAATACTCAGTGTTCAAAACTTCATTTCAATATCAATTAGGAAAGATAGTTTTTCATATTTATGCACATGTCCTGCCTCTGATAAGCACTCCAGGTGTTTATCAAGCCACACACAACCTTGGGAAAAGTGCTGAGGTGCTGACTTGGAGGTGGTGTAAATCAGCACAGCTGTACCCATGTCACTAGAGCTGCCCTTTTATATCTAATCAGCATCTGGCTCCAGGGAAGGATCAAAGGGGGACCTCAGGGGCATAGCAGGGTGAGCAGGGAACAGTTTCTGCATTTTAAACTGTTTCATGCTTTCTCTTTTCCTGGGGCAACGCAACCTTCTCCTTCTTTGAAACAAGCCGTTTTGCATAGTTTCACTGTTTCTTGTAAGGTATGAAAATGTTCCACGCTGCCTATAAAAGCTTTAAAGGATTTAAAATTAAACTGTGGCCCAGGCTCACTGCCAACATAACTGTGTGTGGAATAGATTCACACTTTGGGTCACAGTGAAGAGTGGAAGGTACTTTTCCTTCTGCGTGGGAAATTCGTGCCAGTTTGTATGTAACACTGGAGCTTTAAATATTTATCTCTGCATACTAATGTCAGAGTATTGCCAACCATCAGAGGGAGGAGAGAGCACGTCCTCTCCAATGTGTCAGGTTCAGGTGGTAATCTGGAGAGGACACAGAGTGACTGGGAACAAGTGTTGTACAACGTGATGATTCTCCCTGTGAATTGTACACAAATCAGCCTGTCTTTGTTAGAAATGAGCTGGCTACAAGCTCTGCTATCCTGCAGCATGGCACCCAGACAGATCATTTGCTGGGTTTGGCATCAGGGAACATCTGGAGCTTTCCTCTCCAGAGGTTCTTGCACAGGCAGTGCTGCCCCACAAGACTGGACACCACAAAATGTGAGTCCCTCCCCACAAACTGCCTCAAGCTATTGAATCCTGCCTCCCCATCTCCCTCTGTCCTGGGAAGGGTTTAGTTATTCCACACAAACTTGAACAGTACTGTTGCTCTGTATCCTCCTTATGGACCCAGACCTACACCTCTTCTCTTTTTTTTTTTTTTTTTTTTTTTTTCTTTTTGCATCATTTCCTTATCTATATAACACCCCTCTTCCTTAGAGAACAGGAGGAGAATAATTATATACTAAAGATAGAGGTAAAAGCCTGTCAGAATTAAGTACTAGCCAGCACACAGCTCCTGGTATTAGCTATTATATTAGCTGAATCCACAGGGTTGATATAGGAGAAAACAGTGACGGGAGCAGAAATTTATTACTTTAGTGGTGTGGGAGAAGCATTATCAGGCTGCACAGTTGTATGCTCTGAAAGTACAGTCTCTGCAGTTAATTGTACTCCAGATAAATCTGGTAGGAAAAGATGAATAGTGCTGTTTACTTTTTAATTCAGTCTCCTGGGATGCAAAGACTTCATTTGAAAGTCTCCAAATTCAACATATCTAACGGCAATGGCTTTGAAGTACTTTGTTGCAACTGTCATGTGTTTTGGAAAACATATAAAGAAGGAAATATCAGAAGTCATCATTTTTATCAATGGATACAAGTTAACAAAAACATTCTTCATGCTAGTGCCCAGCCTGTAAGTGCTGTGTTCTCTATGTCAGGGCCAGATGAGGAAAGAAAATAATTCAATATTACTTTCTCTGAAAATACTCATCTCTCTTTTCCAACTTTTCCATTGCTACAAGTCACGTGTATGTTTGTGCTTCCATTTGAATGATTTTTCAGACAGTGAAGAGAAAAGACAATTTTTTCTGCTGTTTAAATAGCTCTGATATCAAATTAAAATCTCCATGACAGATGTCATTATGCAGGAAGACTTTCAGGGTAGATGAAGCAAAGAGTTCCTCTTTATATTATAATTTTCTAGCTTGTGGAACAACCTGTGCCTGACACTTTGATTTGTTGAGCTTCATTACTTTCATTCTTCTTCTATTTTTTTTTTATTAATACAGTTGACTAGAAGTTATTTGTGCTAAGGGACGATTCTTACTGCATTTACTTTGTCATTTTTCTCCTGCTGTTGTGATCAGATTGCAGTGCCATGTGCTACAACCACCTGCATGTTGAACTACCTGCAACCCAGGCATCATTCTTTCCACACACCAGAATAAACTACTTATGTTTCAACCTAGATGACATTTATTGCACGTAGAAAATGACAGCAAAGCATAAAATAAATATGGGATACTCAAAGCTATCTGTTAAGAACTGGGCTTCTTGCTCTTTTAGGTGGCTTTGAAAATCATGACACCCATGAGACAGAGAACATTGTGACTTCCTCTGCCACAACATTCCCTTGAACACAAATGCAGAATATTTACTGAATGGAGCACACATATTCCAAGTGATCAATCCTCCCTGTGCTCCCACAGCTGTCAACAGCAGGAGCTGTAACTCTGAAACTTCCTAACCCTCAAGTGAACTTGCTATGAAAGGATGATGGATCTAAACCACGGTCCCTGTGGCCTTTAGGAATGTTTATTCTTAATTTAAACCCGTGAATCCAGGTTGGGATTTTTCACAAGGCACCTGAACCTTGAGTCCCAATGGCAGTGCAGGATTTGGTAGAGCTGAGTACAGCCTTTGCTGCAGCTGGGGATGCTGTAGGAGCCTGACATGTTCTCCAACATGGGGCTACAGCTGGGGCTGGGTCAGCCATCCTCCTCAAGGGTGAAGTGCAGGGCTGGCCTCGTCCTGCTGCACCTCAGGGGCTGGGCGCTGTGTGCTCAAATGTGCTGGGACACAAGTTCTGGTAAAACACCAGCACACAAACACCAGGCCACACATCACTGGGTGATTTTAGGGTACAGAATTAGTCACTTGAACTCTTTTCAGTTCAGCAACCTGATTTTTCAGCAATTAGTCGGGAAAATGCCAGATGGGGATTTATTTAATCTAATTTTAGATATCAATCAGAGCAATGTAAGTCATGAATCAATTCAGGCTCCCAATAGGCACGAGAGAGGGGGACAGGCATGACCACATCTTACAGCATGAAGCATCCTGCAGGCTGCCTAAAATGATATGAATTCCTGTTTTCATATATACAGAACATACTGAAATATTTTAAAGAGTGACTAGGCAAAATTGAACCCAAAGGAAAGGCTGCACTGTACCACAACTGGAGTGGAACATGAATGCATTGGCTATGCACCTTCAGTCACCCTTCAGAAATGGGAGCCTCGAGTACCAAGCAGCCTCCCAGTACTGACTCTGACCCGTGAGGTGATGGAGACAGTATTAAGCTCTGTGCAGGCTTTGCATTTCTGGAGAGCTGTAAATTACTTCTGAACCCATTGCCACGCTGACACCTGTTCTATGTGTTGCTATCTCATTATTTGTTTAATTTCATAGTGTCAGGCCTACGCTCGGTGCTGCATATTCCCGACTCAAAACATTAGTCTCTAATTGAAAAACCATTACTGCATATAAAGTTACAATAATCACAGAAGCTTTAATTAGCTGAGCAAATGAATAGCAAGTAATCGAACTTACCGAACAGAATCTTCCCTCTACTTAGCTTTTGAATTCTATTCATTTCATTCTGGCAAGGAAGACCTAAAATATAATGTATAAGAATCAGTTTCCAGATGGCATGGGACAGACTCAGTAATGACTGGCTTCACTGCTGACATGAAATGTAGGCTACTGTACACCTGGGGCTGAGAGAAGCCCATATGCTGGTACTGTACCGCAAAACAAATTTATGTCATTAGCTCCACTAATTAAAAAAAAAAAAAAAAAAAAAGAAAAAAAAAAAGAAAAGGCAACACTGTAGTTGAGAGTAGCGTTTGGGGGCCATTTTAATTGTTAAACCATTCTACCTCTCTTTTCACCAAACTGACATCATGCCAGCTCTCCAATTTATGACTTCCTAATTGGTTAAATTCTTCATTAATAAAAGAGTAAATTGTTGAGCTTTCTGTCAGCAATAGAGCTTATTTCTAGACTGTGTGCAGCGACACTTACTACTTTGTTTGCTTTAACGATCAAGGGATGTTAGTATAGCTCATCTGTGACAATAAACATGGTCCCAGAATGCCCTTCACACTGCTGCTGGGCAAGAGGGCTTTTTAACACAGCTGCCTGCCAATGAGCCAACCCTAGAGGCAGGCTCTGAAACACAGGGAGAGCCAGGGAGCTGCTCTTTGTCCTGCAAGTGGCACAGCTCACCGCCTGGCTTCTGGAAGCAGTAGCACCACTCGTTGTTGGAAAGCTTCCCGTCTTTGAAGGAGTCGCAGGAGTTGAAGAGTGGCTTGACACACGGCTCATACTTATCCAGGTAAATGGCACTGATCTCCGAGGGATCCAGCAGCAGGTCGTAGTTCATGTCAAGTTTGTTGAACATCCAGCCTAAGGAATCCTTGCAGATTGGGAGGATGCTGGTGTCAAATCCTGTAAGAAGACAGGCAAATATTCACCAGCTGAAACCCGGTATACCCCCGGCACAGGAGCCATTCTAAGGTGAAGCCTTGCCAACTTTTCTTTTTCTGGCTGGACCCTGAACATTGAGCTGACTTGCCTGGAGCAGAACTGAACGACTGAACTGACTGTGTAAAGCTTAAAGCCCAAGCACAGCTACAAACCAGAGCACTACTCACACTCTGTGGGAGCTGTAGGGTAGAGAGAGATGAGATTCAGAATTGGTTTCTGTAATTCAAAGTCATCTCTACTCAAAAAATTCTTGCTTTTTTTTTCCTTCAGTCCTCAGTCCAAGTGTTTTGGCCCAGTTCCAGGAAATTGAAATGTGATGAGAAAAGGCTGCATCCACCATATTTTCAAACTAGACTGAATCTGAATGCAATTTAAATCCTGTTTCCCAGACTCCTTTCTAGTTGCCTGATCATATTCTTTCTTGCTGTGCTCTCACCTTCTACCTCTCATCCTTGTTTTTCACTTTTCAAAGGCCTGTCTGTGGTTTGTGACAACAAACTGCTTTGGACTCTGAGCTGTCTGGGGAAGGCAGGGGGAGAGAAGAGGTGAAATGTCTCTGTTCCTCACATCACTCTGAGGGAGGGCACAGCTTCAGCTTCTGGAGCTGCCCAGAGCTGCCCATGCTCTTGTATGCTGTACCAGCACCTTCCTGCAGCAACACAGGATTCTGCTTTTCCAGCGCTTTGGAAACCATCACCATCATTCATTTTAACAGCCCATATCCTTCAAAGACTGCTGCAGCAGCAGTGGTTATCACAGAAAGCCCAAGTCATGCATATAGATACCCACGGTGTACATGAGATACATGTTCCAGTACTGTGCAGGCTCCAGAAAAACAGTGGCATGGAGCATTCCAAATCCACACTGTCGTGGTATTTTTTTCAATGCTTAGACTAAATTCCAAGTTATCTACAATGCAATGAAATATATTTGCAATGCAGAGATAATAAATCTGATAACAAGGGTACTGGTTTCAACCAGGACTCAGAAACATGAACCCATTGGTTGGGGATTTGCAGGGACAGAGGGCTCCTGACAGCCCGGGGCTCTGGTGCTCACACTGCTCCAGCTGGGAGCAATAACCTGCCTGTGCACTGCTCACTCTGCTCACATCAGGCCACCTAGAGAAGCCTGACGAGCTTTTTCCTTCAGCTGCAACTTTCACTGAAAGAGGTTAAGCTTAGCTTTATCTGCTGTACGTGTTCCTTTCAGGATGCTGCTTTGTTCAAGTGAAAGCTGAGATGTTGCTGGAATCATGCTGACAGTTCAAGCTCTGCACCCTACTTGCTATTTTAGGCATTAATCCAAAGGAGAGCAGGGCTTTTTGCTGGAAGCTGTGGTTTTTGTATGCAGCTGTGGCTGAAGGTTGTCAGTGACACAGAGGGACAATCAGAAGGGTTAACTAATGGGAAGGTTTGTGTCATTCATAATACATGTTTCTCTAAGGAAGGAAGAAGGTAATGCCATTTTCTCAGGGCTAGAGGTAGCTCAGGCAGGGAAGAGAGAAATCATGCTGAACATTTTATCACATTTTTATGCCGTTATCTCCCATAACATTATCTAATCATGTTGAGCACAGTAAAAAAGAACAAGGCTGTGTGAATAGATGTAGGGGGAAGCTGCTTGCCTTGCTGAAGCAATTAGAAATATTGACTTCAATTATTTAAGTCATCTGAAGAAGGTAAGCAGGATTTGGTTGCTGTGCAATCTTTTGTCAAATGAAAGGACTTTAGATTACTCACCTTTGCCTTTACAGAACAACAGGAGCAGGGCATCCAGTCCTGCCCTGTGCAGGTGTTTGCTGCCAGATTCCCCAACCCAGGGCAGGTTAAAAGTAGTCAGACAGGCAGGAGTGGATCATTCAGCTGCAGGATGGAGCTGGGATCAGCTCCAGCTATCTCAGTTTAACAGTTTTCAGGAGAAAAAGAGTTAGTTTCCATTGTCTGCTGTTTTTCTGCACAGATGCTCTCTCTGACAATGGACTTTACATGCTGTGGTGGCACTTAGTGCTGCAAAAGATGAGCAACTCTAAGGTGAGCTGTGTCATCAGCTGGGTATGGTATGTGTTGCTCAGTCCTGATGGTCTCTAAAGCTCATCTCTTAACTGGCAGGGATCAAAGCAGGGAGGAGGAGATCCTGGAATGAATTTGCCCCTGACAGTGCCTGTAGATTATTTCTGAGTGTTGTTGTCCTCCCTGTTGGGAAATCTCCACCTGCATGTGCCATGGGGATACACCACCAGCCTGTCCTCAGCACGGATCCGTCTGAGCAAATCACCAGTAGTGACTGCAGTGAGCACAAAGCTGCTCTGTGACACACCACCAGGGCTTGATGGAGATACAGCTGGGAAAGGGCACTCGAGAAGACAATTACATTAACTGAACAGGTTTTGATCATAATTTCTTATAAACAAGGGAGCTTACACTATTGTGACCAGAGTCCCAAATTAGATTTATCAAGAGGCTGGTTTACTAAACAGTGCTGGATTATCAGACAATGTGGTCTGGAAGTCCTGGAATATTGAAGTGGTAGGTGTGACAGAAAGTCCTTAGCTAGATAGTTATTATCAGTGGGAAGTTAATTCTTTAACTGCCCCTCAATATGTCATTGAAGGCCAATAGCAGCTTCACTTCATATTGTCTCCTGGTAAAAGGTATTGCCCATAAATTGCATCTGCAGCCCAAATCCAACAATCCTGGATGCTCTCAGCACCCAGCACCAGAGTGAAAGCCAAATATCCCCTAAATGTTCAACACAGGCTCTGACTCACGGCAAAACCAGGGCAGCTTTTGGAAAATGGCTTTTGGACCTCACTTACCTTCACTGGGAGGTCACTGTGCTCCCACCAGCCAGGTGAGGCCAAGTGATACTGAATGAATTAACTTATTTTTAGACTCTTTTGATATCTAGAAGTATGATGCAATTTTCTGGATGAAATAATGAAATAAACCATATACTATAATTCTGTAAAGAATTCAGTACTTGGTTAACAGGCTGGATTTCCAGCACAACAGACCCAGAATAAGCAACCTCAGTGAGAACTTTTCTGCATCTTTCTGTTCATCAGCACACTGCTGCAGTGCCTTTGGTGAGAAGCAGGAGAGAGGTGCAGGCTCCACATCCCTCCTGGCTCCTTGGCAGAGGCTGCCAACACAGATGCCAATTAATGCCAGCTGAGCTGGTGACTGCTCTCATTTGCACACCTGCTCACAAGGACCTGGACTAAGACCATCTTGTTCCTCTTTTCAACTGACAGCTGTTCAGCATCCTGACAACTTGCATTCACTACAGAGCTGGAAGGAAATCACAGGTGACCTACATGTATCTATCATCCCATTAACACTTAAATGCTCCACCTCAGAATTGAAATGGAATTAAATTCAAAAAAGTCTTTAGGTGAAAATCCTTATTAAAAATAAACACACCTTCTGGCATGAAAGAATTATTTTTCCCCTTCAAGAGTTACACTTACATGAGACATTTTTATATTATTAAAGTATATTACAATTAAATTAACAGGGGTATAATTAACCTAATTTCCCCTATCGCTTAAAATAAAAGAAGGAGGAGAAGAAATGTTCCCCAGAAAAAAATCCTTTATATTGTATAGACCTCTAGGAAAAGAAAAACAACACCCACTCCAACCAAGGAGACTATCTGGATACAATATGGGGATGTTATGAACGATCAACAGGCTCAGGAGCAATTTGAATCTGATCTTGCTACCTAATTAGTTTTATTATTTCCCTATGTCAAAGCATGTCCCTGAGTTTCTTACATCATTTATTGAGGAGATTTTAATTGCACAAAGCCTTCAGAAGACGAAGTACCCGGCCCACTGTGCTTTGCTGGGATCAGAGAGCTCAGGGAAGAAGGGTTTGAAATCTAAACACAATAATCCTCCTCATCCTTTTCCTTTCAAGAGTTACAAAGAAAATAAAAAAGAGTGTTACTTTTTTTCCCTCACCTGGGGGTGAACATAATATGCTCAAAATGCTTATTTACACTCACTAACATCTTGAAAAATTAATGTAGCATAGAGAAATCTCTGCTGGAAGACCTTCTCTGGACAGCTGATGTGATCGAGGCATCGTAGTCATGGCATCCCACCATCTGTTCCTTTTACTGCCAAGGGGGCACATCCAAAATGGATTATTTGAGGATGTTCATGCCTTTCCAAACCCTGCAGGCACAACCAAACCAGTTCAGTTTGAGGAAGGGATGTGTGTGGTGAGGAGGGCACCACAGGCTGAGCCATAAAGAAGGGCAATGTGTTCATCAGAGTGTGGGTCCTGTTTGCCAGGAGTCGCAGACATGCTTTTCTGCAGCTTGGCTGTATGAGCTTTGCTTTGAATTCTGAGCCCTGCTTAAGGTGTCATTCATTTTTACAAATGTCTGAAGTTGGAGAGAACCAAATACTGCTGTCCTCACCCTGTGAGTATTTTCAGTGTCACCAGAGAGATGTGAGCTGCAGAATTTGGCACGTGCAGATTAATTCATGAGTACTGTTGCAAAACCTCAAAAAGAAAAACAAGCCTAAGTTTTGTGGTATTTAAAAATTACTTAGGCATCTAAACTCATAAAGTTTCTTTTTTTTTTTTTTTTTAATTGATATAGAAGAAAATAAGAAAATGTGCCAAACTAAGTCAACAGTGTAAAAACGAACATTGTTGAGATCAAGTGTTTAAAATCATCGGGCAGCCTTTCAAATAAAAGCTGCCAGGAATCAAACTAAACTAAAACGAGATAACAGTTCCTCTGTGAATCAGAGCAAACACTGCAGAATTACCAGGAATGTTTTTCTCACTGAAATTGCTTGAGGGAAAAAAAAAAAAAAAAAGACCTCAACACCTTTAGGTTTTGGCCTCTGGCAAGGTCATCATGAAGATGTCACAAGTTATCTGCATGAAAACATCCTTTTGACAATCTGATAAAATGAGATTTCCTGTGATTCTGGGCCTAAAGGACTTCAAATAAAGTTTAAAGCCTCTAAGACTTTCTGTCATGGGGTTTGAAATGAATTCACATCTGGAAGCCTTGATTAGCTGCACATCCAGTTGCTTTTTGCACCGTGGTTTGGATCCTCTGCATGAGAATATCTTTTTTTGGAGCACTCTTTCAGAAATAAGTAGGACATATGGTTTTAAAGATACTGACTTTGTAGTAAAAACTGTGCAAAATAAGGGACACATGAAGAAAGATCATTTACACGGAACATGACTTGTTTCACCACAGAGTTTTAAGATGTGTGCTGGAATCACTGGGTTTGACTGTAGTTTTGAGCAATACAGCCTGTGGTATATTGTGTCTTTAGGAAGAGGCAATCTGTTGCTACCCCAGCTCAGATGTAGCACAAAAGAGAGGCTGTGGAGACCTGGACCAACAGAAAATGCCCACCCTGATGTGCTGGGTCAGCCCCAGTGCCCCTGCAGCCTCTCTGGTGTCACTCTACAGGGACACCAGGTGAAAAGAGCCATAAAAGCAGCAGCTGACTGGACCCTTCAAATTCTAGGTTTGGACCCTGGCTTTAGACAGCTCATCCCAGATAGTCAGTGCAGTGACAGTGAGACACACACCTAGATAAAACTTGTGCATCCTGCTTTGCAGCCCAAGGGCCCATGTGTTTTGGGACACTGTTTAAAAGAATTAATGAATCCTTACAGAAAGTGAATTTACATTGGCTCTCTGATGAGCATGACCTCTTTTAATGCTGTTATCTGAATCTTTCCCCTCCCTGGTGGCTAAATGACATCAAAATCAGTCATGTTGGCTTAACCCACAGAGAGTAAATGTCCTCTAGACTGTTCATCTTCTTCCTTTCTTAAAAAAAAAAATAAATTGCATCAAAGGAGGCAAAGATGGTGTTATTAAATACCTAGGACACAATGGGCTGCAGCTTTCTTGACCATTTAACTCTTTTAGCTCCATGTCTCAGATGTGGGTAGTTTAATTATTCTTTCCTGTACATAAACTGTTAGCAGGAAATTTTAAAGTAAAATCTAAGTGAGTTTTTTTCCAACATTGGCATAACGTTCCCTATGCTTGTATGCCATATTTTCATCTTATCACACTGATTCTATGTCAGAAAAGGCCTGGTCATAAAACTGGTGGTTAAGCAGAGACCAGAGCCCAACCCCAAGAAATGATTTGGATGCAGCCACGTTGAATTGGAGGGTGATGGAATTTAACTATACAGACACAAACTATACCACAATAATTAACCCCAGCTCTTGAGAGAACTCCCTGAGCAGTTTCAGTCACTCATGCAGAAGTGATCTCCATGGCCTCCAGACAGTAATTTGCCTGATTAACTTGAGAAGGTCTCTCTGTCTCTGGCTGCCAGTTTCTAGAGCAGTTTGGGCCAGAGGGAGAGGACAGAAGGACTGCAGCTCCTTCAGAAAACCGCATTTATTTGCACGATCAGGTCTCAGGTACCTGCTTATTCACTGACAGGTTGTTGCAGCACCACCAGCAGTGCTCATTCAATTCTCTCAGGCTGGGAAGCTCCCACAACACCCAGTGCTCAAGGGGAAAGGGTTTCTTACTGCCTTGTGCTGTCTCCGAGCTCGTGGGTTTGATGACACGATTGGCATCCTCGTGGAGGGCACCGAACCAGTCCTTCAGCCTCGAGGCCAGGCTCCTCAGCTCTTTGTCTGTGCAAGCTGGGAAAGAACAGAGCACAGAGTGAGTCAGGAGCACCAGGGAAAAGCCTCTCCCCGGAGAGTCCATTAGAAAAATTGTGTTTATGGTTGTAAAGCTCTCCTCATTAAGAGCTCTGAAGGAAAAAAGAGAAGGTCAGGGAACAGGATGCAAGATAAAAAGAAAATGTAAGTCATTATGAATTTTAAGTTGTACTCAAGTACTTCCTTGGAAGCTGAGATGATTGGTGATGGAAGAAGTGGCACGCAGAGCTCCCTGCCAGTTGGCAATTAGAGCTATGTGACTATTTAACTTAAATGTTTTCACCTTTAAGGATTTCAGAGAAAAATATCAGTCAAACAGATGGGGAGGAGGGACATCTTTGCCTAGACATGCTACTCGAAAAATATGCTAGGGATAATTTATAACCACATTTAGCTTTGTATAAAGCTATTATCACGGTAATAGAAAAATATATATACTTATTTATATACAGAAAAAATTGTTATGTTGCTCTACTTCCACTGCAAGTGATACTCTACCACCTCTGAAGGCTATCAATTCCATTTGTTATCTAGGTAAAACATTTATTTTCTTATAAATTTTACTGAGAAGTATCTAATTTTCCCAGAAATTTCTGCCAAGAGATTAATGTTCAGCTGAAGCAAATATTTTTAGGGAAGAAACCTGCATTAGCTATGAGTTTCTGTCAAAAAACATTCTTATTTCTGTATCATGTTTAGTGCTTAAAATTCACATGCTCAGGCAATTTTATTATTCCTACTGTGCACTCACTCTACATTTTAAATGACATTTCTTGAAATAAAGAGCAAGACTTTATGCCATAGAGGCAGACATCCTTCACAGTCACAATAAGTCTTCTCCATCTCACTGCACATTATAATATCCCTCCTTCCACCTTATTGAGGAACAATTGAGTCCCACAGCTCTCCCAAGTTTAACTCACTGCTCCTATGACATGCTGATATGTCACAGCTGTTCTGAGGATTTGTTTGTTCTCATTCTTTAGTTTCTTTGAAGCTAAAAATAGAAATTATAGTCTTTTCTAAATTTCAGGGGGGGAGAAAAAGACAGGTTTCCCCATTTTTTTTTCTGTAACACTGAGAGAGTTTGATAAATTTTCCTATGAAGGATAAAGATATAAAGATCAATATCCCTCTAAAGCTGAGCCAGGTTAGAAAAAATCAGGTCTTAAACAAAAAAAAACCCCAAAAAAACCCCCCAAAAAAATCCCATCAATGTAAAATAAATGGAAGACAACACAATACTAATTGTAAAGTGGCCTACCTTGCTGAAAAAGCTACCACTTTATTATTTTCTCACTTGAATTAACATTCCATTTTACTCATGGTAAACTATCTTAACTTTCCATGTTGGGTGAAAAAAAAAGAGGATTCATTTGTCCAAGAAATGAGTCATACAGTTTTATTGTGCAAACCTGCTAGTTATTAAATAATGATGGTAGCACATGTCACCTTTAGGAGACCAAGGCTGGAACTCTGGACTACAAACATCCATTCTTGTGCCTTCTGGACAGGTACACTGAGCTTCACAGACAGTCAAAGCCCAGGGAGAAGAAATAATAATAAGGAAAATACCTTCCAGAGCCATTTCTCTGATTCAGATTTGTGTACTTCCAAGCACAAAACCAACTCCAGACACCACAGCAACTCAAATTACGCCAAATGCTTTGAGGGACACTGTATTTGCTCCCAAACTCACCCTGTATGGAGGGCAGGAACAAGGAGCCCCACACCCTGTCCCCCAGCCTCAGCACCCTGCAGGATGCCCTCCCCAGGGCCAAATGAAGTCTCTAAAATAAATCTCAGAAAGTGGCATTTGGTGTGAACTGCATGGACTGGGGTAATAGCAATCCATGCTTTTAAATGGCAATACAAACCAGGATTGAATGCACAGCATAGGTGGGACACAAGTAATTAATTAATGGTAAACAGAAGTAATTAATGGTAAATCAGACTGGAAACAACTTGTCTCTATAATTGAGCCAATCAAACATGTCAGGGTCTGTGAAATGCCGTTTTTAATGAAGCTGTTAAAGTCTTTCCATGTCTGTAACTTCAGCCATGTTGAGAAACAGCTTTTTTTGAGGGCAGTGTTTGAGAGTGACCCCTGGGTGAAGTTATTGCTTTCGTATTTGCTGACCACAAACCCTGCAGATTTCCTTTGGAATTTGATCTGAGGCATGACTGACAGCAAGCCCAGAACTGGAGTTTTCTGCATTATGGATAGATTTTCTGTAAGTAACTGTGATATTTCTTAAGTATGCTGCTTAAGGATGATTCCATAGTGAGTATGATGTTGAGGCTCTCTCGCAGGACTGCAGTCTTCCTTCACTAGAATAAATACTGTTTCGTGAGTCAAACAGGAGCCAACTTTGCTATTAATATGGAGTGAATAATAAATCTCTGGACAAGACTTCAAAAATTTAATGCAAAGTTCAGTTAAATTTCTTTTCAAGTATTTAATGCCCTCAATATAACTTTCTCCTGCACATTAAAATAGAGGAAGTATCCTTTTATTTTACATTTCTTTGTATTAAATTTTATTTTAATGCTACCATGCCTGGTTAAAAATATCCTGCCTTTCTACCCAATTGAACTGATTCAATTTTTATTTATTTCATTTGAACATTATCAGAGGCATATAATCATTCTGAATTTGATTTGGGGCACATTTGGGACACTTCACAGTGGATTGACATTCAGAGGGCAGGAGTTTCATACAAACAAAATCAGTGCTCTGGCATCCAGGAACCAGAGCACTCAATGTTTTCTTTCTGGTGGTAGGGCCCATTAGTTATATATCAAACAATTAGCTTGGAGGAGCCCCTCGTCTGAGATCCTTACATATAAATTTACATTAGTAGAAGTTATAAAGCATTTTAAAGAACCCTCTTCATGAAAAATGCAGTGCAAATGTACCTCTTCTCTAATAATAGAAGTTTCAAGTCACATTCCCCAGATAAGAAGAGCAGGGCTGTAGGAGGAATGGATGTGATAATGGGTCTCTTGCTATTGAAGATTTATAGGAGAGAACACCGGGGTTGCAGACAATATGGATATTGACATGACTAGAAGCACTGATTTAAAAATCCAGGCTGAAGAGAATCACCAAGTGAGGAGACTCTCCACAGCCCCTCTCTCACAACTGGAATCTGTCCAGTCAACTATCAACAACCATTTCAAGCTCTGGTGCTGTGAAACAGACCCAAGTGCAAACATATGTAAATAGGCATTTTCACTGGTGTGTGTCTTCCCCCAGATAAGAGACCCTGGCTTCAATTCATTTCCTACACCTCTTACAGAGAAAACAACCCGAGTCCTTTACCCTTGCTGTTTCATCGGTGTCAACAAAGGCTCTGCTTTAGCAGCCATCTGGTATCAGCCCCTCCTGTAACATAAATTTCTGGATCCTTCCCTGCTGATGGCTTTGATGATGTGCTCACAGCCCACGGCTTCCCCTAGAGCAGCTGGGATGGCAGCTGCTGCAGGCAGGGATGGAGGGGCAGGGATGGAGAGGCAGGGATGGAGAGGCAGGGATGGAGAGCAGGGATGGAGAGCAGGGATGGAGGGGCAGGGATGGAGAGGCAGGGATGATGAGGCAGGGATGGAGGGGCAGGGATGGAGAGGCAGGGATAGAGAGCAGGGATGGAGAGGCAGGGATGATGAGGCAGGGATGGAGAGCAGGGATGGAGAGGCAGGGATGGAGGGGCAGGGATGGAAAGGCAGGGATGGAGGGGCAGGGATGGAGAGGCAGGGATGATGAGGCAGGGATGGAGGGGCAGGGATGATGAGGCAGGGATGGAGAGCAGGGATGGAGGGGCAGGGATGGAGAGGCAGGGATGGAGGGGCAGGGATGGAGGGGCAGGGATGGAGAGGCAGGGATGGAGGGGCAGGGATGGAGAGCAGGGATGGAGAGGCAGGGATGGAGGGCAGGGATGGAGATCCAGGCTGGGGAACAGCCAGCTGCCCAGCCTGAGCCCAGAGCACAGCCCCTGCCCCCTCGAGCAGGAGCAGAACCTGTCCCTTCTCTGAGTCTCAGCAATGAGAACACAACAGAAGGATGTGAGAGCTGCTGCACCCAACAACATCCTCAGATCTGCATCTGCTGATGTGATAAATTATCCTGCAGAGGTGATTTATTAACAAGCACCTAAAGTGCAGATTTATTCCCGAGGGTGAAGCACTTGGTCCAGCAGTTATTTATTCCTCACAAACTGAAAGCACTGTTGCTAAATACCTATTTTCACCAAGCAGAAAGCATTAATCTGACCTAATAGAAAGCCATTAGCATGCTCTAAAGGCTCAGGCTTTTATGGGCCTGCTTTTGTTATGGACTTTTGCAGCTCTACAGATACTAATCTATATACATTGATGGTGAAAATTTGCAGTATAATATTTAATTTCACTCTTTCAGATAGGGACTTTCAATAGTACTTAGTGATAGAAATCAACATTAAAACTGAACTTACCTGTAGATGTATAAGATTAAATCAATACTGAATCACAGAATGTGTACAAGAGGTTTTGTGTCATTTGACTTTCCTGGCATCTCTCTTGCATCTGTCTGTTGCCTTCTCACTCCTGCTGTTCTTATTCTAATAATAATTCTTACAAGTAGTACTACATTCCTACCAATTACTTGTGGAGAGATTCTTTGGGTTCATATTATTGTTATATAATGCTAAGGCAGATATTGAGGAGCCCTGAATACCAAAGGGATGCACCCCTGAGAGGTGGAACAGCTTCCACTGTTTCTGTAGTGTAGGAGGAAAGAAACTACAAATGCAGGGAAATAATAAAAAGGGGGAAACAAATTGGGAGCTTTTAAAAATGCATATTTAGTTAGTTTAGTGAGGTTAGTGTTCTTCCCATGCAAATTAAATCTTCAGCTTAGGGACATGCCACTACTTTTTAATCACCTGCTTAAGGATGCAAATGTGCTGCATGGAGCAGAATCAATGGGTTGTGGTCGAGGTGAC